CGTTCCAGCCACCGAAGCGGTTGCTTTTGTACGAATTTCGAGTGACGGGTTAATCTTCTGTAATCTTGTAGGGGGACGATAGCGGCTTCTGCGACACACAAAAGGCATTCTCGGAAAGAGGGGAGTTCCTCCTGTCCCTCTTTTCTCGTCGTGGCAGGAGGAGAGACAACCTCCGTCACTAGCTGTCAAGGTTCTTAGCCGGGCATTACAAATGAGGCGTTAGCGACATCCACCAGGTGCTCTTTGCTAATCGTTTAATTCGTTTTAAAATTTCTTTTGGTGACTTTTTTAGCAAGATATTGGTATGTTCGATGTGATGCTACTCCTTTGAACACATAAAGACCAAAAAATGAGCACCGAAATTTCGTTGTAGTATCCCTTTAAAGGGGCCCTGCAATCATATTTAAGCGTCTACCTTTTTTGCGGTTTCCACGTCTCTTGAAGTTCGGGCAAGCGAGCGGGCACGGAGTGAGTAACTAAATATCAGTGCGTCATATTTTAACCGGACGACGCGGAAACCTCCTCCACCGACGGGGGCGACCCGCGGTACCGAAAGCGCGCAAAATGTGACGTCTTTGGTCCTTGGCTCACTACTGGTCAGAGCCGGTAAAAGCTTCTTTTTAGTCGAAATACAAAATATTAGTGGCGTGATCCGTTTCAATTATTTATAAAAGTAGTTTTTGTTCACTATTTTAGATGAGAATAGAAACAAATGCAGTTTATAAAGTACGGAAACAAGAAATGACCCGTCGACATACCCGCCACCAAGCGGTGGAAAAGGCGGCGCATACTAGAAAGAAGTAGTGAGATCAGGCGCCGACACGGAAAAATCCCGGATGTACGCGGCAGCGCTGCGGTCGTATGGGCAGGAGGATCCGACCGGCTCCAAGCCTTCCGAAGGCCTTCGGCGAGATGCTTGTCTTGCGGTTTGGCCGTTTCGCGGTATGGCAGCGCAAAGTGGCTCCCACTCTCAATTGATCTTTACCCCGTGTTTGCTGTCATTTGTGGCCAGTGAAGTGTCATGCCGATTTAATGTTTAATCGCGCAGCAAATGCAATGAGAGCCGCTCTGGCTGCCCGCTGCATACAGCCTGTCCAGAACATGCTTTAGTGGTGCCCTCTCGCGCCGTCGATACGGAGTGCAGTAGCCGTGATCGCTCGCGATGAGCTCACTACCCCTCCTCTTGTTCACTGCCGCTCAAACAACCAAGGACGTCATGAGGGAGGTTATTATTTGCTTGTTTTTGTAATCTTGATTGGCCTATAACTTTTAAAATAAAGCGAATTTCAAGAAAATAAAAGTAACACTAAGTTACTACGTTCAGTGCGCTCAGGTTTGGTGCAAATTAAAAATGAGTAAAAACGTGCTTGCAGGGCCCCTGAGAGCACGCTTACAGTGTCTTCTTAACCGTGTCTGGTCATGTGGGCATTCATGGCCGCGACTGTAGTTGCCTACCCGACTGCGAACGGTGTGACGTTGATCAGCGCCACAGGAACCAGCTTACTCGTGAAAATCTGGAGGCTGTTGATTATGCGAGGTTGGACTCTGCATGTCTAAGCAGTCCATCTGTGGCCCTATCTGACAAAGATATGAATTGTCTAGATCTCTGGCTTGCTTGTTTTCTTTTTTTTTTTTTTTTTTTTTTTTTAGCGCGTGTTTTGTACGGCTGTGAAATAACCCCTTTTTATTTTTTTATTTTTTTTTGTGATTTATCTGGTGGGAAGAAGTCTTCTTTTAGTTTCTTCGCTTTCGTTCGTGAAAATGCAAATTTATGTTGCAATATTGCGACCAATAAACTCATTTTTAAGTCAGCGCTGCGTCCGTGTCACCTCTTCGTCTAATCGTCGTCTTTTCGCGTTGCTCTTAACTCTTAAATATTATTTCATACCAGAGTGTTTTATTTATTCTTTTTTTTTTGTACCTAGCATACCTTTATACCCAAATATTACTTACGTATTTATTTATTTTTAATGGGAATCACCGCGAAATTAAATTCCCAGTTTTAGAGAAATGGAAATAAATAAAAAAAAAACTTCGGTAAACTTCGAATTTTCGGCTACAAATAAACGGCGAAAAACACCCTCTGCAGTTCAGGAAAAATAAACTCCGAAAATTCAGAATTTTACCAATAGTACATACAAGTCTCTTTTCTTATTTTAAACCGATCCGTGAGGTTCAAATTTAGGCCTGGTTCGTCTGGCGTGGCGTTACCCTATAGACCTTTTCATCCTCCTCCTCATGGGCGCTGCCATCTTGAAATCACGTGACGCGGCGGCCATTAGGTTGCTTCAACTTGCTGCTCCGCTCTCCCCTCCGCGCCATGGCGAATCCGTTGTATTCGTGTTTTTCGTCGCGTTTCACCGCGCTTTCTTGCCTTACTTCGGAAACTACTCGACGACTAAGACATCACGAGGGTTCAAAGGTCCTTATGAACCCGAGGTTTGTTTAGTAATAGTGACGGAACATTCTCAGTATAAAGCGCGTATCGCGCATTTGGGATCGGAAGGCGTCAAGAATAGTCAGCGCAAGGAGTTTATCTGTATTTCCTGAAAGTATAGTTCTTTGTATTCATAATATATCGAAAACAGTTTCTTTTTATTATGTGAGGAAACTTGCGGAGGGGATAGACAACGAACGTTCAACTTGTATTTTATTTGAGGCTAAAAGTAATGGTACGCCAACATCAGGCGATTTGTTTGTTCATAACCTGACACGTACCTGTGTTGAAAATTCTCAATCTTTTTCTTTTTTTTTTTTTTTTTTTACGTAATTATTCGGGGTGTCGGTTTACATATAAACTTTAAAAAATTGTATACCGTGCTCGCTCCCATTTCGAGTCATTTAAGTGACTGATTGATTATGTTTAGATAACCAGTGCCATTTACTAAATTAATCTTAGCACAAAGGTTGAGTCTTCCCGCGAAAGAAACTACCACAGGCACTTAACAGTAGCGAGTGTCAGAATAGACTGCGCAAAGAAATAACGTCGTTTCTATTTGCAAATCCAAAACGCGGTTTGGGATTTGCATGAGCAATAATGACGATACTTTTTCTTCTTGTTTTTTTTTTTTTGTGTACGTTGTTTTATTTTCTGCCTGTATCTGGAGACCGCAATAATTGAGGCCCCCCCAAAAAAAGAAACAAAAAGAGCCGTCTGCATAACAATCACTTGTGTCCAGGATTGTCGATGGCGAATAGAGGTTTACTTTTGGTGGATGCGACGCCGAAATTTACAAAGCGAGTCTGTTCAAACAAATTTAATTTTGTTCACACAGGTCCGTGAAGTGGTGCCTAGCGCTAGAATTCAGCCAAGCTTTCCGGGGTATTTCTCCTCCTGCGCCGTTTAATTTTATTTGGCCAATTTTACGGAAGGCAAATGCCAGATTTAATTTGACGGGACTGTCACTTATATCTTGAGTAAGCAAATGTTCATATAAAAATAATTTATTTTCTAAGGTCAATATCGCGAAATGCTGCTTATGAGTACTTTAGAAGGGTTTATCATTAAGAAATTTCCTACTCGGTCCGTCAAAACGTAGTCAAGTACTGAGTTAAAAAAAGGCCGAGATGAAACTACTTGTTTATATCAATTATCTGCGTCAGCACACGACACGTTTTTAAAATGTTAGGTGCCCCGAAAACCAAACCGTGAGTAGTAAACTCCCGAGCTCACCTGTTCTGGCCGATTCAAAACATTGCTAATCAAACTGTCGATATGCTTCTTTACATTCACGTCTTAGTCTCTTCATTAGTTTGTTTTGTTAGAAACTGGTGTCATCGGGCAAGGCCGCAGACGATGGGAATCTTCCCTGTACATCAGTCAAGCGTTTCGCAACCGACCCTAATCAGATACACCAAAGGAGTTGGTCAAAAAGCCCGCAGTTTAGGCTAAAATAATATACACCTCGTAGTCCTCATAGTGGTCCAATACCACTGTTTCATTGGTTGTGTGCTACAAACAAAATAATCGTATCACAAAATTAAGCAAAAACAACGTAAAACAGCAACATAGCCGAGTTCACGTTGAAACAGAAACCAACCAAATTGAAGCAACCTAATGGCGCCGAGTGCGTCAGCGCCCTCTATCCGCCGATGAGGCAACTATTAAAATGAAAAGGTCTATAGGCCAAAGAGCCCCTTGCAAACAAGCCCCGACCAAGTGTGGGCACAGGCGCAGTTCCCGGACGAGGTGTTGGCACGACGCCAGCGGAGAAACCAGATTCGCGTGAAGTTGAGCTCTGCGCATGCGCCCTGCCATTACCTGCGGCGTGATGCCAGGGCCGCGGTACACAAATTAAGGTGCAACTTAGATATGCACCAACTTTTTTAGAAAAACAATCCGGTTATGGGGCGGGGGGGGGGGGGGGGGGGGATTTACATTTTATCTTTTCTCTGAAAACGACCGTTTAAAGGGGGTGCTACTTCTATAAAGTTGCGACTTATACACGGAAACATTTATTACGGCAAGCATCGCAAAAACAAAAAGAAGACATTAACAGTTTGCGTAATTTTTACCACTTCAATTTAAAAAAAAGAGAGCGACCACTTATCCAATTATATATTGGCTTAAGAGTGCAGTGACGAAAGCTGGTTATTTTTTTAGTTTTTACAGTCATTAAAATTGAGAAGTTTTCCGTAAAGGATTTCGTAATCGCAGCCCCAAAACTTGTCTGCCTCGTCTGTGTATGGTCTTAATCGCAGTTACCGGAAACAGAGAAACGCTTGGTATCAGACGCTGTCAGAGCATTCGGCATGGCAATGCTGCAGAGTTCTGATTCGGACGGTCTGCAGTTGTAGCTGGGCTGGTAGAGTGTTCTGCTAGAACCCGAGAACACCAGCACTTGTGCTCCCGCTAACGGTCATTGAGATAGTATTCTTCGTGAACAGTTGGACTTAGATAAACACACGCAAACCAATGTCAAATCCCGGGGCTCAACGTGTGCTCTCGAAACTTCATCCTTGTATTGGTGAAAAAGAAGTTGGAGTAAACGTATACATACCAATAGCAATGAGCAGCAGTTAAAACAAACTGGCGGCTTATTAAAACGCCACCACAAGGGAGTTCGCCTTCTGGAGTATACAGCCCCACCATCCACGGCCAGTGGCCAGGAGCGGCCTCGGTACCATTAATAATTCGCTCAGAAACGGTATCCTGGACTCCTCGTCGTCCACATATCTCCTTTAAATCATCTTTCTCTTTGTTTATGTATCTTGAGCATACCCCTGCTGTAAATGGCAAGTAGGAGATAGCTGTGTTTATATTAGAAGATCTAGAAGGTTTTAATTATTATTACTAACTACTTAAAAATAGTTTGGGAAAGTTTGTTGGGCTGAGGTGGATCAGTTCACTTACACTGCTTTCATAGAAATTCAACAGTGCATGAATAATCAAATGATTCCACGTCAACTAAACAAAATAATTCCGAACCATATCACGAGACTCGCCGAGAAGGTTGACATCGCTTTCTTGAGAACTACAGTTACATTTTTATTAAATCCTTCCTGTTACATTTATTCATATCATAAAATTTACGTATCTTGGTGCGGTTTGCAGGGATATAACAAATAAACAAAGATAAAGGCAATAAATCATGAATGATATTATTTTCTTCAGGAAAATCTTAAGCAAGTTATAGTTTTGTGAAATAAACGAAGAACATATCAGAGTAGAGAAAGTTTTTTGTCGCGGTGTCACCATTAATGAATATCTCATAGCAGAATATTGTAAAAAGCCCCTGAAAAGAAAGAAACAAGGTAACAGATTAGATGGGACACGTGCGTCAACTTTTTTTTTCCGCGAAAAAAAAGAAATAACAAAACATTTTAGAGTAATATTGACGGCGCTAGGTGCGGTTGTGTCGGCAGTCACCTCCTTTCCACTTGTTTTTGTTTTCTCGGCATTTCGGGCGCGTGCAGGAGAGGTGGATGGTCTTCGCCTTCAAGACCGAGATGGTCACTCCGGAATGACCAGTGACGTCATGGGCTTCGCGCGCAGAATTTCAACTCTCTCGCCGTTAAAATGGCTGTAAAATATCTTTTTTTCTTAAAAATTATGTGTCGAACCACGCGTCCCAACCAGACTATTAATCTTTTTTTTTTTTTTAAAGGCCCTTTAAGAAAGTGTAGATGTGAACAAAAGGAGGTTCGTCAAACTGTGTTATCAAATTCATATTCTATTCCTGAGACTTTCTAAGTACGCTATTTTCTTTGTGAAAACTTTACTTTGTAATACGTGCCCATCTAGGCACTCTCAATATTTTTTTTTTCATTTAAGCCTTTTGTTTTTAGGAGCCCATAACAAAGGCCACAATAAATAAATGTGGTATAAATGAGCACACTTTCAGAGCTGTGATTGTGTTCAAATAAACGTAAGAGCGTTTTATGAGTCACTTGTGCCCGAGTCCCACTAGAGCGACAAACAGAAGCAAAAGAGAGCGACAAGCCTCAAGCACAGGTAGGATGCTCACGATGGTATTTTTGGCAGGCGTTTAGTCGTTGGGTGCTCGCGAAGTAAGCACGAGTGATTGCAAGCCTGCCAAAGACAGACTCGCGTGCATGGTGCTCGTGTTTCAGCGTAGACACCTTTATTCTACAAAGCCTGTCAAATCACGAAAGACTATGGATTGAGGCCTGGCGCTGTTTGTTTCTGTTTGTTGCCCTAGTGGAACTCGGTCGTCACAAAACCCATTTTTTTACACCACCTGAGACTGGGTGGAAGGAACACGATGACGTCTCAAACACAGCTAACCACTTTATTTAGTTCTCCCTCCTTTTATACATCCTCAACCCAAAAACGTCACCATGAAAAACAAGTTTTTGTATTGACGTTTTTGGGTTGAGGATGTGTAAAAGGAGGGAGAACTGAATAAAGCTGTGTTTGAGACGTCGTCGTGTTCCTTCCACCCAGTCTCAGGTGGTCTAAAAAAATGGTAAACTTACACCAGCTCGCCTGCGCCCTAACTGTTTTTTCAGAAAACCCAGTTGGACAAGATACAAACTCGCAATGCATTTTGAACAGCACTCAAATTACTTTCAATATGCATGGTCTTGAATAGTACACAAACCAATTTCGAGATGTAAACTAACTTTTTTGCAAATATTTGACAAGCTGAGAAGCAAGTAATGAAGTTATATTTTTTTTATATCAACAAAATGTAGCCCCTCGCTTAGATCTTTCTCAGCAAAAATCTAATACTGCGGTGATCCCTTTAGGGGCCCTACACCCCCTACAGAAATGACTGCCACAGGGAAATCTAGTTGCCCTAAGTTTAGTTCACTTCAAACGGATCTCGATCATAAAGCAGAACTGGAGAGTGTAGGTGAAAGAGTCCTAGAATAATTATGGCGTAGAGGGGATTCAACTTAATTTAGGCATGGCACCTGCTGTTCCACTGTCTGTGGGCAGGCCCGCTTCATAAACCGTTCGGATATGACTGCACTGAAGTGTCGCTTATATAACCCGAGAAACGCGCAAATTATTCTCAGGGTCGCCCCTCACTTGTCTACGTGCTCAGTCGAGCTGCGTGTTATTGCCGGGCAAAAATGCCTGATTTATCTTGATACTACGGATAAAGTCATAAAAGCAGAATGTGTTTACGCGCAATTCTTCGGTGTTTGTGATGGACATTGCAGTTTCTCATTTCTTTGGTTATTTCATGTTATCTTATTATAGCTGTCGTTTTTCAAGTAAACTGTCGTTTGTCTGGAATTTTAGTGAACTGTCCGAATGTGGACGAAATACTGCCGAATGCCGATGCTCGCGTTGAAACAGTTAGTAGAAACCACCGTAGTTGAGACAAAGTCACCTAGATTTGTGTCTATAGGCCACATAGAAACTTCTTGCAACTTTAATCATCATGCTATTCGCATCCTGTTTCCTTTCACATTTTCCAGTTGTGGACAAGTGGCCGAGTGGGCTAACGCGCCTCAGCTCGGAGCGTGGAGCGAAGGTTTGCGCTGGGAACCTCCTGGGTTCGATTCCGCACCGCCCCCCGCCCGTTTCGATCTGGATGAGTCTCGTACTGGCACGCGTTCCTGATATCACTACTGCGTGAAGCACGTTAAAACCCCAGGTTAGCGGTTGTACTGCACTGGATAAATTTCTCATCTACAGCTAAGAGACCGATTACCCGTCGTGGCGTATCTCCATCAAGGCTCTATAAACATACAGGGCAAACCAATTTTTGACATTGCACACTAGTTTCTCACGTATGTAGCAATTAAGTCATTTTGTTCAACGCCATCTGTATACAACAAGGAACTTTGCATTAAAATTAACGCTAACGGTTATACGAGAACTTGATGTCAGATTTTCAACACTCAATTATTTACGCTTGGCAACTAATACTCAAACTGCAGATTCACTTAATGAGCAACGTGCAGAATATACCAATTAAAGCGAAGAAGGGGAAACTCATAACGAATATACCTTTAGAATTATGTCTTTCTGCGTTTGTATATGACTGTCGAAAGAATTTATTTTTCAATTTCTGCACATTTTTTTTTCTTTTTTTACTCTGCACTGCAGGTGGAGCACTGCGTATCTTGCAATTTCGCAGCTAAGCATTTGCTAGGTAGCCAACTTCTGGTTTGAGCGTGCACATTTCATTGAGCGACACGGAATTTTGTTGCGAACTCAAATGTCGAAGTTCATGCACAAATATGAAAGGATCAACCCTTAGACCTTTTCGGTTTAATGCTAGCTTTGTGTTAAAAATACGCGTAATGTTTGTTTGTTTGTTTTTCTTTTCTTTTCAATACCGCACATCTGCCGCAAACTTTGTCTTCCGGAACATCTGTTCTGCTCGAAGCAGATTTCTCATTTCGTAACGCAGCGCTTCCATCTTCATTGTCTAAATAAATCACGCACGGTCACGCGCTGCGCTTACTTTTTTCGCGTGATTTGGTAGAGGCGGTGGTTTCAAACACATAAAAACGACGAGAGCCATGACCATGCACATTTGGCGCTGCACGCCTGGCTCCATTGGGTCGTAGCGTTGGCTGGGTTGGGGCTAACTGTAGAATCTAGCAAAAGGTAATATTTTCATTCTTGCGACGTAGAGATTAGCGGACAGCGGTTGTACTTTGCATTTTGTAGATATTAGCTAGTGACTAATCGGAAGACACCATTAAATTGATGGCGGAAGATTCTGAATCTTTCAGAGTATTGGGGAGGTTTAACCACTCTAAAAATTATTCTAGGTACATTTTGCTCAAATTTCACGAGCTAAGGCTCCCGGGTAATCTTTTTTTTTTTTTTTTTCGCAATGCTAGATTCCGTTTATATTTTTGAGGAATTAGAGTGTTTTGGTGATTGATCCTGAGAGGGAATGTTTACTTACGGAAAAATGCGCTGACAAGAAGCATGAAACCGAGTTGGCGTGAGCTCATATTTCCTACCTACAAGACGATAACACGCCGCTTTCCTTTTTGGGTGTTTAAACCAGGTTATTTATTACATCTAAACTATCGATGAATGAGAGAAACCTCTGGCTACAGTTACGTACAGTAATATAGATACTAAAAAGCCTCTCGCGAGTGGGCCTCTGTTTTTTTTATAACAAGCTCTTGACGTCTGGCTTACGTCCGAACTAGCGCTGACGTCAGGACTCACCCATCCCGAGCAGATGGCAGGGAGCCAATGAACGCAAACTACCACTATCATCTGTGCCTGAGTCTACGCGACCCAGAGCCGTATATGTAGAAAGTTTGGCCATTCGTTGGGACGTATGGGAGACAAATGAGGAGCCGCCATTGGCCGAAAGCGGTCTGGGCGTGTTCCAGGGCGTCTTCAGAAATTCGAATGTGACCAACCAGAAGCCGGAAATAATACCCTGGCGGCGGTCGTGTGAAACAAACCTGATAAGTGCATCGGAGGAATTCTCGGTGACTGAAAATGTGGTACACGTGATGTTTCAATCACGCTGATCCAAAATGATGGTGGAAGAGTGCGACTAGCGGAACGATCGACATAATCCTTACGCCAAGCGCCGAGGGCCGGGAATCTGCCGTCCGAGCGCTCACACTCTGTCCGAGCGAAACAGAGTTCAGCGGCGCATTCGTTTCTTATATCTTTCTGCATGATCATGACCGAAACATCACGTGCACCTATATTTTCAACCACGAACAGTTAAGACACTTTACTCTGACGCCCTTAATAAAACCGTTTACGAACATATACCTTTGGATCAGAATTGTTTCTCGGTATCACCGCTACAGGATTCTTTTCGCCTTCGAGTTGGTCATGAAAGCATGCTAAGCCCGCTTCCGTGTCTGGAGCATGCTCTGGCTCTGCCCACGCCTCCTATTGACCAAACTCTCTATATACGCGGCTCTGCCGCGACCCACTGATCTCTATTTCTATATGCTAGATGGCGTTTAACCACCTCCGCCTATGGACGGGAATGCGACCACGGTCGGTCATCATTTTGGTAGAGTTATATTCTGTCTAGATAATGTAGTAATTTGGCGGACAGCTTTAAGGCAGCAGAATGCCATACAAATAGCCGTGGGTCTTGTACACTATACCGTGGTTAATATTTCGTAATTGATTGAAGTTGTTCGACGAAGCAAATTATTGAAACCCACCATCAACGGTAGCCTGATCTTTGAGGACCCGGCGAAAGTTTTACGAAAGCGCAGCACCGGGGGAAAGCAGCGGAGCTAGCATCGAAAGCAGACGCCTTACCGGGAATGGGCCCCTCGGCGGTTCGACATTGCTGACAGGTGGTGCTGTGATTTCGTAGGTGGTGAAGTGTTATGCTCCCGAACGCTTGAATACGGATCAAGAGACGCCGTGGATGTGCTCGCGATCATTCGGGGAATTCTCGCGAGTGTATATATTCACCGGGGTCTCTCCACAAACATGTGTTCCGATGTTCCCTAGAGTGATTTATATATTTTTATACCATATATTAGCCTGCGACGTTCTAAACAAAATTCATTTGAACGAAGTTAGTTTTTCACGACCTATCGATGACGGGGGACCCTTTGCCGAAGAAGCACTATTGAAATAAGACATAAGAGGAGCCGGAGATACGCAAAAGCGTGTGTGCGCCTCACCATCGCCCAAAGCCGCTTTCGTTCCGAGCTGTGCTGCTTTTCCCTGGTGCAGTGAATTCGTGAAGCTTTCGCCAGGTCCTCAACGATCAGGCTACAGTTCACGCTGGGTTTCAACAATATGTTTCGTTGAGCAATATCAATTAAGCACGAAATAACACACACGGCTATTTTTATGGCAGCCTGCCACCACAACTGCCACAACGCCTTCTGCCATAGATAGATGATAGTGGCTGTACAGCTGTACCCTATCTAACGGGCAGTGAATTGCGTCACTATATTCTTTGTTTCATCGCCTGTTCCTTTGTGACAATATACAATATACATTGTCGACAACATTCACTTCACGACGATCGGACGGAATCCAGATTATTTTAGACATTGTTTTGAAAAAATATGTTTGTTTTTCCCGGCATTAAAGGGGTTACGGAAACGAAATTTTACCGCCGATCTTTCTGCATAAATATGGGCTAGGGACAGGCACCACCTCGAAAATATCAATATCGCGCTGTAAAACACAGGAGAACTAATTTTAAACCTAATTAAACGATTTCAAATTCACATCTGGTGGATGGTGGGAATGTTCTCTTGACATCGCTTGTGGCATAGGATCAGCGCCGTTCTGCGGCAATAAGGCGTGCCGGCAGATTAGGCTAGGCCTGAACGCGTTTGCAAAGCCTTGGCGGAAGCGTAGTTGGCCACAGCGAGCTCGTTCTCGTTGCGGCTCTTTGCACAACACGACCCGAGCATGCTTCTGGCACGGCCGGTATTAGTTACTGCGAGTTGCAAGCTGCGAGCCGACGTTAAAAAAGATATTTTTGAACTACGAGAGTGTCAGCAAGAGCCACGCAAATACCTGTTCACACTCGGAGCGGACACGCGCGTTTGATCGAAGTGCTGGATTCGCTCTGTTAGACCGCGTTTCGGCAAGCGTTCCTGGACCGATCTTTTACGATTCCGACTCGATACCGACATGACACTAGGCAAAGAAACGTTGGACCAACATCGCGTATCTCCCACGAACTGCTATAGCTCGACAGTGACGTAGCGTCGTGCCAGAATAAAAATGGGATACTAATAATAAAGCGTACATACCGTGTTGGGAAGGTAATCCATTTGGCGTATATTTGAGCTCTATATCACACAAAACAAGGAGATAGAATCAATGAGAGTCCCTTTTCGACGACAGCGTTCGTCACAGCTGTCTCGGAAAACAAGGAGATCGAGATGACAAGGGGAAAAGATTGACCTCTGAAATTTAGATCAGGGATTAAACTATTCATCCAAAAGGGTCCACAAGGGTCACGCGGGCATATTCCATTCAGCAGGCCAGCCGGGCATGGGCAGGCGGTCTCGGCCAAGGACCGCCAGAGAACAATGCGCCGAGTCGGTGTTGCTGCTAGGCCTACTAAATTCTGCCCAGCCCGCTTGGTCGGTAGAATCGTGGCCGTTGTAGCTCTTCTCGGGTGTTTGTGGATCCTGCGTTCTTGATCGTCGTGGTCTGTTTCAAGTACTCCTTCCTTTTTTCTTGCTGGTTGAAGTCGAGACGCACGACAAGAGCACGTAGAAAAATAAATGTCCGTTGGTCGTCGTTACCAAGTAACTGAAGGACGCTGTCGGCCATGTTGATTTGATCGTAAAAAGTGCGCAAGACAGCTTTGGAGCTGTCGTAGGATTCTGTCGTAACCTGCGTAAAAGTTACGACAATTTCGTTTCGAGAATAAGGGTTCTCTCTCAAATTTGTCGTACGCACTTTTTTCGTCGAAAGTTCGCTTTGAGAATCAGGCCTCAGAGCTGGTTTTGTCACTGGTGTCGTGGTTGCCGACTTGCCGTGATGCAGCGTGCGTGCAGCCCTTGCACATCTCAAACGGCCACATTGTCACAGGTCGTAAACCGTCGACGCGCCAACAAGTGGCAACGCTCGTAGCCACAACATCCACGCCGTAGCCTTTCCCGTCTGGCACAAGTGACGTCACCAATGCGCCCAATATCCCAAGACGCATCGCGCTCTCCGATGGCTAATTTTCGAGCGCGCGCCCAATCGGGCCCCTCAGGGTGAAAAATATAGCGATCCGTTCGAAATACAAACGCGCGATTATGATTTACGAATATCATTGATCATATTAAACATATCTCTGACCATAATAGGTGTATTTCAAGTTTCGCTTCAGTATCCCTTTAGAGCAATAAAAAAACGGAAATGTTTGTTCCGTCCTTCACGCTGGACCCAACAGCTATTTTTCCAGAAAACCGGGAACATAGCCAGAATTACTTTTCGAACTTGCCTCTACGAAAATAATTTTCCAAGAACATCGAACGACCCGCGTAGCGAGCTGCTTCACGCACGCATTCTTCATTGGTTTGCCGCCAAATCCGAGCGGGCTCCGAGACTTGGTATTTCCTGGTTATTTTATCACACCGGAAGATAATACAAAACGGTAAGGATTCTTAACAGACAAATAGATGAAAAGTTTCTAGAAAGTCCGGCAAACTCCTAATGCACATTACAGGTGGGGAGTCGCGCTCACCAGGTTTCCACAGCTTAGAAGGGTGACAGAAATTTCTGGCTGATAGGGATCGTCCCGGTCGCAAAATGGGGCATCCGCAAAGCTGCTTTTTCTTTAAAGCACGTGGTTGCTCGATCAACTTAAACGCCGATCGAAGCCGCGCACAATAATTCTTTACTTCTAAAACGTCACAAATATGATGGGCTATACTCGTAAACATCTCTCTGGAAATGACGAGAAAGGTATCAGGGGACGTGGGAAGAACTGACGTTTGTGCGATTCGCCGACTAGTCCTGACTTTCTTAGTTTTGGTTTCAATTCGGGTTTTTGGCGTGACTGACACGCATCTGCTACTGTTCCTCATTTCTTATGAGTATGCGGTTGAGGTTGCTGAGTCGCGATTGCCGAGTATGAAAGCAGATTGGCAAATCTTTTCCAACGCTTCATTTGTTTTTAAATAAAAACCAACGCTTTGACTGAAGTACAGGGACAGCAAAACAAGGTCATTTACACCGTGTAAAATCAAATCGAATTTTATTTCTCTTGTGAACGACACAGATATGCGACAATAATTTAAGAAAGGCCACGAATTTCATCAGCCCTGCACTGCTTTGAGGTCACGAATGGGCAAACTTGTGTTGGTGAAAAATCATAGCGCGGGAGCGGTATACCAAAATATGAGAATGCACACGCTACGGCGCGAATTCTATTTGGATCGCGTTCAGTTACCTCTAGGCCCACGAGGGAGGCGTCGGCGCACCTCAGCTCGGAACGCGTACAGCGAAAGCTCTCCCAGCAGACACCAGGGATCCCGGTCTCAATACC